TATCCTATCCTATTTCTACCATTCGGACTAACATTAATACATCTTCGAATGTGCATTACAGCATAGCCTATCCTATTTCTACCATTCGGACTAACATTAATACATCTTCGAATGTGCATTACAGCATATCCTATCCTATTTCTACCATTCGGACTAACATTAATACATCTTCGAATGTGCATTACAGCATATCCTATCCTATTTCTACCATTCGGACTAACATTAATACATCTTCGAATGTGCATTACAGCATAGCCTATCCTATTTCTACCATTCCGACTAACATTAATACATCTTCGAATGTGCATTACAGCATAGCCTATCCTATTTCTACCATTCGGACTAACATTAATACATCTTCGAATGTGCATTACAGCATAGCCTATCCTATTTCTACCATTCCGACTAACATTAATACATCTTCGAATGTGCATTACAGCATAGCCTATCCTATTTCTACCATTCCGACTAACATTAATACATCTTCGAATGTGCATTACAGCATAGCCTATCCTATTTCTACCATTCGGACTAACATTAATACATCTTCGAATGTGCATTACAGCATAGCCTATCCTGTTTCTACCATTCGGACTAACATTAATACATCTTCGAATGTGCATTGCAGCATAGCCTATCCTATTTCTACCATTCGGACTAACATTAACACATCTTCGAATGTGCATTACAGCATAGCCTATCCTGTTTCTACCATTCGGACTAACATTAATACATCTTCTAATGTGCATTACAGCATAGCCTATCCTGTTTCTACCATTCGGACTAACATTAATACATCTTCGAATGTGCATTACAGCATAGCCTATCCTATTTCGACCATTCGGACTAACATTAATACATCTTCGAATGTGCATAACAGAATAGCCTATCCTATTTCTACCATTCCGACTAACATTAATACATCTTCGAATGTGCATTACAGCATAGCCTATCCTGTTTCTACCATTCGGACTAACATTAATACATCTTCGAATGTGCATTAAAGCATAGCCTATCTTGTTTCTACCATTCCGACTAACATTAATACATCTTCGAATGTGCATTACAGCATAGCCTATCCTGTTTCTACCATTCCGACTAACATTAATACGTCTTCGAATGTGCATTACAGCATAGCCTATCCTGTTTCTACCATTCCGACTAACATTAATACATCTTCGAATGTGCATTACAGCATAGCCTATCCTATTTCTACCATTCGGACTAACATAAATACATCTTCGAATGTGCTTATGGTGTGCCGGCGTATCGTATCCTTATACCACAGTTTGGACTGGATTGATTCCGTCATTAATGTCCTACCCGATCGGAAGTTCCAAGGACTATTTGAGACGCACATAATCTGGGATAATAGCATCGGTTTATACATGCCGGCCATGCTTATGTACTTATGTACTTTCACATGCCACGACAATAAAGGGGAAATGCATGTATGATTTATACGCTCCTTAACATAATCTACTGACGGCTGGTGGTGGGTTTGACGCTGACAAGTGGCATTTGCAACCAAATGAGGGCTAATATCTGTATAGGTTATTACGCAAGTGTATAAATGCAAAAATTAAGTCCCCATGCTCCATCTTGTAGTCATATAACCGTCTCTACCTATGGTTGTGTAAAACACACAATACAAACACAATATATACGAACGACACTCTACGTGAGTGTGTTGGGGGTTATTACCGCGGCTTAAGAGCATCTCCAGCTGCAACGTCAAGCAGCGAGCTCGTCGCTGAATTGCTGGAGGGAGGCGATAGGGGGAGCTGTTTGATGGTGGAGGCTGAGAGAGAGAGGAAGTTCTCAACCCGAGGTGAAATGTGGGGAGCGGAGGTAGAACTGGGCACATTTCACAAGAATACCTCGTCTATTGACTTTATCTAGCTAGGATCAACATTCACGAGGTGTACTGAACGGCAGACATCTTAATGGAAAAAAGGTCCGTTTGGGTCAGATCGATAAGAAAAAAATGAGCTTTCTTGTCTAAAGAAATCAACGGGACGATGACGGATGTTTCCGATGTAAACACACTCCGAAAGGACGAATATCAAAAGAAGGAATAATAGATATATATAGTCGCCCGTGTCCGCGGTACTTTCTGATGGTTTGTTTTGTAAAATAGGAATATGTGCACGTGAAGTTCTGTCAGGGCATTTGATATCAGGTTGTTTAATAGCATGGCTGAAATGTGGGTCTTCAATACTAGCATGACTGAAATGTGGGTCTTCAATACTAGCATGACTGAAATGTGGGTCTTCAATACTAGCAAGACTGTAATGTGGGTCTTCAAAACTAGCAAGACTGTAATGTGGGTCTTCAATACTAGCAAGACTGTAATGTGGGTCTTCAATACTAGCAAGACTGTAATGTGGGTCTTCAATACTAGCAAGACTGAAATGTGGGTCTTCAATACTAGCAAGGCTGAAATGTGAGTCTTCAATACTAGCATGACTGAATGTGGGTTTTCAATACTAGCATGACTGAAAGGTGGGTCTTCAATACCAACATCACTTAAATGTTGGTCTCCAATACTATCAAGACTGAAATGTGGGTCTTCACTATTGGCATGTGGTATTTATAAGCCACTCTTATATTAACAAAGTCTTTTTTAAACGTTAAATTTAGATAATGTGCAACGTTTTCAGTTGCCAAAGAGTAGTTTTATTACATATATCTTAATGTTATTTCTGGATGAATAATATTATTCTTATTAGGTTTCCAACACTTATCATTATTCCTGCACTGGCATGTTTATGTGGTTTAAGGCATGCATGATTTTTACAATGTTCTTCATAAACAGGAGTGAGTGAGTGAGTTTGATTTTACGCCGCTTTTAGTAATATTCTAGCAATATCACGGCGGGGGACACCAGAAATGGGCTTCATACATTGTACCCATGTCGGGAATCGAACCCGGGTCTTCGGCGTGACGAACGAACGCTTAAATCTCTAGACTATCCGACCGCCCCTCATAAATGGGACTATTGATCAGAACATAATCAATGTAAGTACGGCTGCCATAGTTTTGTTTGGATTGACGCTTGGTTGAATGGTGATAAGGCATTGTAATAATGTTGAGGGTTGTCTGTCATACTAAATGACAGATTTTGTGAGTGAGTGAGTTTACCGACGCTTTTAACAGTATTTCAGTAATATCACCGCGCGTCCGATTAATGTGGGAGAAAAGCCCGAAGTGATGCAGGTCTGACAAGTTTACCACTTTGGTATGGTGCTGCCACACTCAGAAACATAACAGGGTCGAACCAGGATTTGAACCCACGATCTTAGGTTTCTGGCGTGCCCAATGGACGCAACTCTGAACAGCGAATTGCGGTGCATTTGACGCCTGGGCCAGTGGTGCTCCCAAAGATTTGGTCGGCGTACATTGATGTTAAACATGTTTGTGACGTGCATAACAGACAGTGCTCTGTTTGTGCCACGTTTGATGTAAATAATAGCTTTATTCGACAGCTTCTGTAACGACATGTCGATGGTGGTCAGATAATATTGGCTCTGTAGATTAACGAGATATGACACTCTGAACCAGCCTCAAGTAATTGATCATGAGGTTTGGTGGATAACATGATTTGTGGGACATGTTTCTGAAAGATATTAAGACATATATGATGTGAGTGAAACAAACAAGTAGGATTTACGTGTCTACGAGCAATGGATCTGCACAACTGTCGTGATTAAGAGCCATCACGGTACTGTAAGACCAACGTGTCTACAAGTCATGGTTCTGAAAGACTAACGAGACTAGAAGCCATGGTTCTGAAAGACTAACGTGACTACAAGTGATAACTCTGAAATACTAACGTGACTACAAGCGATAACTCTAAAAGACTAACGTGACTACAAATGATAACTCTGAAATACTAATGTGACTACAAGCGATAATTCTAAAAGACTCACGTGACTACAAGTGATAACTCTAAAAGACTAACGTGACTACAAGTGATAACTCTAAAAGACTAACGTGACTACTACAAGTGATATCTCTAAAAGACTAACGTGACTACAAGTGATAACTCTAAAAGACTAACGTGGCTACAAGCCATGGTTCTGAAAAATTGATGTGACTACAAGCAATTGTTCTGAACCACTTACGTGACTGCGAAATATGGTCCTGTACGACTAATGTGACATCAAAATAAAAGCGACAAACTCCTTCCCGTGTTCATAAGAAATCTCTGCCAAAAGCATAATCGATTGTGCTGGCATTTTATCGCAGAAACATCTTGAAAAAAAGTACATTGTCTGCCCAAGAAATTCCATTGTTCCACTCCCATACTCCCGAATATCAAATCTTCGGGTTTAATATGGTGTGTAAGTGTGTAAGTGTTTGAGTTAGTGTTAGTGTTAGTGTGTTAGTTAGTGTGTTAGTGTGTGTTAGTGTGTGTGTGTGTCTGTTTTAGTGTGTGTGTGTCTGTTTTAGTGTGTGTGTGTGTGTTTTAGTGTGTGCGTGTGTGTTTTAGTGTGTGTGTGTGTGTGTGTGTGTGTGTGTGTGTGTGTGTGTGTGTGTGTGTGTGTGTGTGTGTGTGTGTGTTGAGTGTGTGTGTATGTGTTGTGTTTGTGTGTGTGTGTGCGATAGTTTGTACGTGTGCGTGTATGTGTTGGTGCGTGTGCGTGTGCGTGCATATGTTTGTCTGTGTGTCCGTATGCATGTGTGTTTGGATCTGTGTCTGTGTTTGCGTATGTGCCTTCGGTATGTGTGTGTCTGTAGTCTGTGTGTGTGTTGTGTTTGTGTGTGTGCTATAGTGTGTTCATGTGCGTGTATGTGTTGGTGCGTGTGCGTGTGTGTCCATATATTTGTCTGTTTGTCTGTGTATCTGTATGCATGTGTGTTTGGATATGTGTGTGTATATACAACATGTGTCAAACAACGTTTTCCAATATGTAATCAAGACAGTCAAAACTCCTCATCCTGTTCCTAATCCATCTTCGAGTCATGTAGACAAATGTATTATTCTCGTGTTTCAGTGAGGCCCACAGAAGGACAAGGCGGCATAGACGACCCGGCAGCTCAATCCAGGGAGAGTGTAGAGGACCAACTACAGAATAGCAGTGGGGTGCCAGTTAAGAACAGCGTACACGAACGCAGCGTGGAGCGGCCGCCCCTGCACCTTCCACCTAAGCAGGCAATATCGACTGAGAAAATCCTCATTAAAAAGTTATTGGAGCGTTACGAACGCCAGGGACGAGTGGGTCGACCGGTGATACACACTAACGACAACCTCACCGTTTACTTTGGCCTTTCACTCATACAGATTCTAGACGTAGACGAAACAAACCAAGTACTGAAAACAAATATATGGTATCACTATGTAAGTAATAGTTTCTATGTGCTTTATTATTGTGTTTTTTTTTCTGTAGATTGATAATACAATATTCTTCCATATGACAATGGTGTCCCCTGCACAAGAAGGTCAGAAAAATTGATTTGCTATATTGTGCATAACGTATGTGTAGCCTTCTAGATCTATTCCTGACAGATACATAAATAGGACCGCCTCCGTGGTCTTGTGGTAGAACGTCCGCCCGGATAACGGATGGTCTGGGGTTCGATTCCCAGCCGCGTCAAACCAAGAAATGTTTAAAGATGGTACTTGTTGTTAGTATGCCTGGCGCTCGGCATTATGGGCCCAAAGTAGGACTGGTCGGCTCGGAGTTGATCTACTGTGTCTGAGTGGGGTATTCATGTTAAACTGCGCCATTGTATCTCAACACCATAAATTCGACATTAGCCCGGACTCATAAAAGCTAGTGCAAGCTACAAGCAACACGCACGCATGCACGCACGCACGCACGCACGCACGCGCGCGCGCGCGCGCTTGTTGCTATATAAGTGTAATAATTAGGGGGAAGATTACCAATAGGTAGACAAACTCACCATCGACGGTGGTCATGTTGATGGCGTTTTGCCCAGTAGAGACAAAAGCTCATGTTGGATGTTTGACCTGTACTTAATAACCTGAACAACTTTCTTGTCAAGTGATAGTTGCATGTTAAGTGCTTAACCTTTGCATGCCAAGGGATCTAGGATCAGTTAAAGGTGATATGATTGAACTTTTCTGGAAATTAATTTAATTTCTGAACATCACATTAAGAGGAACTGCGTGACAGTGAAATCTTTTGTTGTGAACATTACAAGATGTCATAGAGGCATAGCCACAAAACAAAAGTCAGTGCAATAAGCATGGGCTTGTGATCTTTGAACAATGAGTCCAAACAACACTGTCTGTCCCTTCAGCTGGCAAGGTCATGGCGTCTGTGATCTTAGATGCCGAGGGTGTCATTGTGGTGGATACTTCCAAAAGGCCAGACAAAAAATCGTAGCATTTAATGCTGCAGGTTTGGGGCAATCGCGGAATGAAATCAAGACTAAGAGACGTGGAAAGCTAAGAAAATGTGTGTCCTGCAACCAACACAATACGCCAGTGCACAAATGAGTCATTGTCGTTGCTTCACACTGTGACAGTGGCTTGGAACTCCTTCAGCAACCACTTTATTCTCCTGATTTGGAGAATCTGTTCCCAAACATGAAGAAAGCTCTTTTCGGAACCCATTTCGACTCGAAATACGATGTTACAGCAGCGGTGGAGAACTTTTTGGGCATCTAGGGTAAAGACATCTACAAAATTTGGATAAGTTCCCCCCAACATCGCCTGCATAAGTGTATGAGTGAGTGAGTGAGTTTGGTTTTACGCCGCTTTTAGCAATATTCCAGCAATATCACGGCGGGGGACACCAGAAATGGGCTTCACCCATTGTACCCATGTCGGGAATCGAACCCGGATCTTCGGCGTGACGAGCGAACGCTTTAACCACTAGGCTACCCGACCGCCCCTCATAAGTGTATGAATGTGGAAGGGGATTATGTCGAAAACTTAATAATTTGAATGTCATCAGGTCAAATCTTTATATGTCAGATTCAGAACTTATCAGTCATCCCTCGCATCTATATGTGCCATGGCAACATTGCATTCTCACTGTAAAACCAACCTTCCCAATAGTTGACACATGGTTTTGGGAAACATTTTAGTCATCGATCACGTTGTGTATTGAATTCGGCAACCTATAGCGAAGTTATTTCCAGATCTGTTGTGGTTGGTGTGGCTTGTCTTCATTGGAGATGGTACGAGCCAAACAAGCTATAACAGAAATACTTGCATGATATTGTTCGGATTAAATATCCACATAGCGTCCGTGATAGTGTCAATACAGGGTCGGCGGTATTGATTCCATCCCCGTTTTCAGAACCCTTCAATATGCATGTCATACTTACGAAAACTAAAACTATCAGTCTCTAAATTTGTGGTGTCAGTGGCAATCTGTCTAGAATCAAACGCGTTGGTTATGTGTTAGTTGTAGGTCATTCCTCCTGAATATAGCTGTTACGAAGCAATTTGGTTTGGCCATGTTGATGAAAACATGTCCTCAAGGGGGCTGTAACTCCGGCACATCTCGGTCCGTATGCAAATACTGACGTCTGATGGTACGGCTATTGCTTGTCCTTTTTATGGCGAGGCTTTGGATAAGGTTGAAGGTACCACCTCGCCTGATTCTGAAGTTTTCGCCAAGGTTGCCGGATTATGAAGCTACCACCCTGTTGGAATATGAAGTTACTACCCTGTCAAATGAAGCTACTACCCTGTCTGATGTTGAAGCTACTACACGGACTGATGAAGCTACTACCCTGTCAGACGTGAAGCTACTACCCTGTCAGACGTGAAGCTACTACCCTGTCAGACGTGAAGCTACTACGTTGTCAGACGTGAAGCTACTACGTTGTCAGACGTGAAGCTACTGCCCTGTCAGACGTGAAGCTACTACGCTGTCAGACGTGAAGCTATTACGCTGTCAGACGTGAAGCTACTACCCTGTCTGACGTGAAGCTACTACGCTGTCAGACGTGAAGCTACTACCCTGTCAGACGTGAAGCTATTACCCTGTCAGACGTGAAGCTACTACCCTGTCAGACGTGAAGCTACTACCCTGTCAGACGTGAAGCTACTACGCTGTCAGACGTGAAGCTACTACCCTGTCTGATGTTGAAGCTACTACCCGGACTGATGAAGCTACTACCCTGTCCAATGAAGCTACTACACTGTCAAATTAAGCTACTACGCTGTCAAACGTGAAGCTACTACGTTGTCAGACGTGAAGCTACTACGCTGTCAGACGTGAAGCTACTACCCTGTCAGACGTGAAGCTACTACCCTGTCTGACGTGAAGCTACTACCCTGTCCAATGAAGTTACTACCCTGTCTGATGTTGAAGCTACTACCCTGTCTGACGTTAAAGCTACTACCCTGTCAAATGAAGCTGCTACCCTGTCTGATGTTGAAGCTACTATCCTGTCTGACGTTGAAGATACTACCCTATCTCACATGAAGATACTACCCTATCTCACATGAAGCTACTACTCTTTCTGACGTAAAGCTACTACCCTGTCAGACGTGAAGCTACTACCCTGTCTGGCGTGAAGCTACTACCCTGTCCAATGAAGTTACTGCCCTGTCTGATGTTGAAGCTACTACCCTGTCTGACATTAAAGCTACTACCCTGTCAAATGAAGCTGCTACCCTGTCTGATGTTGAAGCTACTACCCTGTCTGATGTTGAAGATACTACCCTGTCAGACGTGAAGCTACTACCCTGTCAGACGTGAAGCTACTACCCTGTCCAATGAAGTTACTACCCTGTTTGATGTTGAAGCTACTACCCTGTCTGACATTAAAGCTACTACCCTGTCCAATGAAGTTACTACCATGTCTGATGTTGAAGCTACTACCCTGTCTGATGTTGAAGATACTACCCAATCTCACATGAAGCTACTACTCTTTCTGACGTGAAGCTACTACCCTGTCTGACGTAAAGCTACTACGCTGTCTGACGTGAAGCTACTACCCTGTCTGACGTAAAGCTACTACCCTGACTGATGAAGCTACTACCCTGTCAAATGAAGCTACTAGCCTGTCTGATGTTAGAGCTACTACCCTGTTTGACGTGAAGCTGCTACCCTGTCTGATGTTGAAGTTACTACCCTGTCTGACGTGAAGCTACTACCCTGTCAGACGTGAAGCTACTACCCTGTCAGACGGTGAAGCAGCACCATATGTCTGATTGAAAACCATCTAACCTATACTAATGAAGCTCCTATCCTGGCACTCCACCACACTGTCTCGTTCTAATGTCAGTCACGTGACACCTGATCTAAATCTAGTGTTGTCTGAGGCATAGATTGCTGGCTGTCTTGATGTACCAGCATCGCACTGTTGACTGACATGCAAGTGCAGAACGGTTTCGGCCTGTTTGATAACAACGCATTCACGTGCCAGATTGTTTGCAGCTCGTGTGGTATCCTTGTTTAGCCTTCAATGCATTCGTCACGTGGATACATTGCGTGACGTGTCACACTGGTTCCCTTATGATTATGATGTGTTATATTAGTATGAGAGACCCTTAAGGTTTCCATGTAAACAGGTGTTATTTCAACATATAGGCCACCTATTGCCGATACATATAAACAACGAATGTTACTTCAGGTGCGTAATGTCTAGTTATTGCGACGTATAACCCACCAATATTACTACAGGTGCCTACGCGTGATCATCCAGGGTAGAATAGGTCTTCAGCAACCCCATGCTTGCCATTAAAGGCGATTATGCTTGTTATAAGAGGCGACCAACGGGATCGGGTGGTCAGGCTCGCTGACTTGGTTGATGCATGTCATCGTATCCCAATTGCGTGGATCGATGCTCATAATGATAGTCCAGACTCGATTTTTTACAGACCGCTGTCATATACCTATAAATATTGCTGAGTGCAGCGTTAAACAACAAACAAACAAACAACAGGTGCCAGCTGTCAAGTATTTCCTACATATAACCCGATAATAATACATAACCTTATGTTCTCGTAGTCTGCCTGTCCTCCATCCTTCGTATCTATGATACTGTCACTACAATGTGCGATCTGTATGCATACTAGTAAATACTAATTCGGTATTATTTCAACTTACAGGAATGGACGGATGTTTTGTTATCGTGGAACAGAACAGAGCACGATGATATCGACAACATCCGTGTTCCCTCAAAGAAGATCTGGCTCCCTGACATACTGCTGTATAACTTGTAAGTATAGCTGCTTGGTACTAGAACAGTATAGCCATATATACCAGGGCGCCAGGAAATACTTGTGTTTGCGAAGTATTGTACGATATGTTCTTACCATCACACGAAGCGGAGGTCCATGGACACGCTATCAGGTCCCCGAGCCAGATCTGTTCAAAAACATCAACTCTTAGGTTGGCGAGAACCACTTCAAACCTAGAACCACTTCTAATCTAGAACCACTTCTAATCTAGAACCACTTCTAACCTAGAAGCCCCATGGGATTGAGGACAAAGAAAGGCTGATATTGTTATATAGGTCTCATACAACATATAGGACAACGCGTTGATCTCGAATCACGGTGTTCTTGGTTTGTCTCATGTGGATGACTCTTTGCACCTTCCTCTACCTCCGACGTTGGATGGTGGTAAACATCTTAGATTGAAGCATAACAGCTTTGTCAATAGTTTTGTGTTCTTTTGGTGTGCTTTGTCTGCTTTGGAAGCTGAACTGTTGCCCTCTTAATCACTTGTTGAAACACACACGCTCTTGGTTGTGGTTCCTTTTGTGGGTGCTGGTTCCACTGGCGTTGTAAATGTTTTGTCTGATGAGAAGGTGACGCCTGGTTTGGCGCCTATTCTGGCATTGTCTGGGTCGTGGAGAGGTCACGATATGGAATACTTCATTGGATGGGTGAAAGTCACAGATAATGGAGGTGACATCAACCTCACTGTACCGACATAGGGGTTAGTGACGCTGGGACGCTCTCGTGCGGTCGGTGATTGGTAGGGACAGTGGTGATCCTAGAGAGAGATCAGTAACCTGCTGATACATCTCACCGTCCCAGTTCCTGGAACAGCTGGCTGCCAACTGGACGATGTTGTGAACGGTGTATCTACTTTCTAGTTGATTGATGTGATATCTATGCGAAGGACATCTAACGCTTCTTCCAGAGGGACGTTGTGAGTAGAGTGACTATAGCAGCTACAGCATCTCTCCCTTCGTGGGGCTAACAGATTGGATTAATCTCAGAATATAGTTCACAATAGGTAGAATACGGAAAATCTGGGTTTTTTTCTAAAAGGTGGCTTTGCCATAATTTTGTTTAAATTAAGGTGATTGGAAGTGGATGCGATTGTGTCTGCTGAAGAAAGTGGCATTCATGTCTTTTTTCTCCTGGAATTCTGCAGGGTTTCCTACGTGTAGGTCCATGGGGTGAAGGATGAGGGTGGTAACAACCACTTTAAAGAAACCGCGCGTCTCCATACGCCCACTTTTGTTTTAAAGAGTGTGATCGTTGTTAGTTCTGCAGTAGGTGTGATCGTTGTTAGTTCTGCAGTTGGTGTGATCGTTGTTAGTTCTGCAGTAGGTGTGATCGTTGTTAGTTCTGCAGTAGGTGTGATCGTTATTAGTTCTGCAGTAGGTGTGATCGTTGTGAGTTCTGCAGTAGGTGTGATCGTTGTTAGTTCTGCAGTAGGTGTGATCGTTGTTAGATCTGCAGTAGGTGTGATCGTTGTTAGTTCTGCAGTAGGTGTGATCGTTGTTAGTTCTGCAGTAGGTGTGATCAGTGTGAGTTCTGCAGTAGGTGTGATCGTTGTGAGTTCTGCAGTAGGTGTTGTCAGTGTGAGTTATACAGTAGGTGTGGTAAGTGTGAGTTATACAGTAGGTGTGATCGTTGTTAGTTCTGCAGTAGGTGTGGTCAGTGTGAGTTATACAGTAGGTGTGGTCTTTGTTAGTTATACGGTAGGTGTGGTAAGTGTGAGCTATACAGTAGGTGTGATCGTTGTTAGTTCTGCAGTAGGTGTGGTCAGTGTGAATTATACAGTAGGTGGGGTCAGTGTGAGTTATACAGTAGGTGTGATCGTTGTTAGTTATACAGTAGGTGTGGTCAGTGTTAGTTATACAGTAGGTGTGGTCAGTGTGAGTTATACAGTAGGTGTTGTCAGTGTGAGTTATACAGTAGGTGTTGTCAGTGTAAGTTATACAGTAGGTGTTGTCAGTGTGGTTATACAATAGGTGTTGTCATGGTGAGTTATACAGTAGGTGTGGTCAGTGTGAGTTATACAGTAGGTGTGGTCAGTGTGGTTATACAATAGGTGTTGTCAGGGTGAGTTATACAGTTGGTGTTGTCAGTGTGAGTTATACAGTAGGAGTTGTCAGTGTGGTTATACAATAGGTGTTGTCAGGGTGAGTTATACAGTAGGTGTTGTCAGTGTGGTTATACAGTAGGTGTTGTCAGTGCGGTTATACAATAGGTGTTGTCAGTGTGAGTTATACAGTAGATGTGGTCAGTGTGAGTTATACAGTAGGTGTGGTCAGTGTGGTTATACAATAGGTGTTGTCAGGGTGAGTTATACAGTTGGTGTTGTCAGTGTGAGTTATACAGTAGGTGTTTTGTCAGTGTGAGTTATACAGTAGGTGTGGTCAGTGTGAGTTATACAGTAGGTGTGGTCAGTGTGAGTTATACAGTTGATGTTGTCAGTGGGAGTAATACAGTAGGTGTGGCCAGTGTGGTTATACAATAGGTGTTGTCAGGGTGAGTTATACAGTTGGTGTTGTCAGTGTGAGTTATACAGTAGGTGTTGTCAGTGTGGTTATACAATAGGTGTTGTCAGGGTGAGTTATACAGTAGGTGTTGTCAGTGTGGTTATACAGTAGGTGTTGTCAGTGCGGTTATACAATAGGTGTTGTCAGTGTGAGTTATACAGTAGGTGTGGTCAGTGTGAGTTATACAGTAGGTGTGGTCAGTGTGGTTATACAATAGGTGTTGTCAGGGTGAGTTATACAGTTGGTGTTGTCAGTGTGAGTTATACAGTAGGTGTTTTGTCAGTGTGAGTTATACAGTAGGTGTGGTCAGTGTGAGTTATACAGTAGGTGTGGTCAGTGTGAGTTATACAGTTGATGTTGTCAGTGGGAGTAATACAGTAGGTGTGGCCAGTGTGGTTATACAATAGGTGTTGTCAGGGTGAGTTATACAGTAGGTGTTGTCAGTTTAAGTTATACAGTAGGTGTTGTCAGTGTAAGTTATACAGTAGGTGTGGTCAGTGTGAGTTATACAGTAGGTGTGGTCAGTGTGAGTTATACAGTTGGTGTTGTCAGTGTGAGTTATACAGTTGGTGTTGTCAGTGTGAGTTATACAGTAGGTGTGGTCAGTGTGGTTATACAATAGGTGTTGTCAGGGTGAGTTATACAGTTGGTGTTGTCAGTGTGAGTTATACAGTAGGTGTTGTCAGTGTAAGTTATACAGTAGGTGTGGTAAGTGTGAGTTATACAGTTGGTGTTGTCAGTGTGAGTTATACAGTAGGTGTGGTCAGTGTGGTTATACAATAGGTGTTGTCAGGGTGAGTTATACAGTAAGTGTTGTCAGTGTAAGTTATACAGTAGGTGTTGTCAGTGTGGTTATACAATTGGTGTTGTCAGTGTGAGTTATACAGTAGGTGTGGTCAGTGTGAGTTATACAGTTGGTGTTGTCAGTGTGAGTTATACAGTAGGTGTGGTCAGTGTGAGTTATACAGTAGGTGTGGTCAGTGTGGTTATACAATAGGTGTTGTCAGGGTGAGTTATACAGTTGGTGTTGTCAGTGTGAGTTATACAGTAGGTGTTTTGTCAGTGTGGTTTATTCAGTAGGTGTGGTCAGTGTGAGTTATACAGTAGGTGTTGTCAGTGTGAGTTATACAGTAGGTGTGGTCAGTGTGGTTTATTCAGTAGGTGTTGTCAGTGTGAGTTATACAGTTGGTCTTGTCAGGTTGAGTTATACAGTTGGTGTTGTCAGTGTGAGTTATACAGTAGGTGTTGTCACTATGGTTATACAGTAGGTGTTGTCAGTGTGAGTTATACAACAGATGTGGTCAGTGTGGTTATACAGTAGGTGTTGTCAGTGTGAGTTATACAGTAGGTGTTGTCACTATGGTTATACAGTAGGTGTTGTCAGTGTGAGTTATACAACAGATGTGGTCAGTGTGGTGAAACAGTAGGTGTTGTCAGGGTGAGTTATTCAGGTGAGGTCAGTGTAAGTTATATAATGTTTGCCACGGTGAGGGCTTTACAGAAGGCATGCCTTAAGCAACAGCTTGTGACGATTAACGCAAAACAATCTAATAAATTATTGACTATATTCTATTCACAACTAGAAACACATAACCTCCACTCAAACCAGATATCCAAGTCTATCAATTTAGATGAAAGGGATGCATGATTGTTTAATCGAAAGGGAAGGGGCAAGTACCTATCAGTGTTCTGTCACGTATAGCGAAGGAGATGTAAATCTATTAAGTACATGCCACTGAGAGCCAAAACGTATGTTGGGTAAGATTGAAAGATACACGCGTGAATCTCCTTCCATTGTGGCAGTTGTGTACACATGGTTTTGATGAGGCCAACTGCACGTAGTTCAACTGCCGTATGATCTGTACAATGTGAAGGGAAATAATTATAACCGACCTGTGTTCTATGTTGATATCAACGTTTAACCTTGGTAAATATACCGGTGTGCACATATGCGTATTGTAGATCTATTTAACGCTGTAGACACAGTATCGGCATGACACACGCGAGAACGGAAAGCAATCACATAACAGACATAACACACCGATGTTGAGAATTGTCCATATATTGCGAAATATGACGCTGTTAAATTTCTGTAAACGAGTGAAATGTCTTTGGCTGCACATTGGTATGAGTTCATATGATGGGGAAAGTATTAATTTATACACAAGGTGGAATAAGTTTAATTAGTCTGTGTCTATATTGTAACGGTGATGTTGACAGTGAAGATATCTGCAACATATTCTGGGATTCAACGCATTGTAAATATGACTGTCAACTTCACTATCAATTCTCGCCGGGATTTCTATGATGGTATTTAAAGCAATAATTCCACACACACACAAACTCAATTATTGTTTAAACTGTATTACACATCCAACTCGTTGGCACGATTCTATCCGCATTAAAAATACCCTAATCCAGGCCTGACTCCGGTACTAGCTTGTTTCCAGATTACGTTGGTCATGGTACAATAC